GTTTTCTATAATAAAAAAGCAGTTAATTTTTTAAGGCTAGAAAGAAATAACACATAAAAAAATAGCATTTATTTACTTCAGCTGTGTGTTTTAACGAATCATGCACCGCTAACATTTTTGTTTCGCTATTTTTGACTTTACAATGAAAATAAACATCTGAAATCATAAATTCTTAACTTATAATAAAGATAATATATGAACCTGGGATGTAATTTTAGGTGAAGTTTCTGTAGTTTCTTTCTGGATTTTATTTGCTTGATGCATAACCACTGATGAGGATATGTTATAAGGCACGACTGCAGGATATAGAAATCCTTAGACATTGTAATTAACGCAGTTTTCCTCGTTCAATAGTTATCCCTCTAGAGACTTTCATATGGTGCTCGTCGTGCAGTTGTTACTATTTCTAATTATGGGGAGAACATATTTGCATAATATATGTCCTGTTTAACTTTATGTAATGTGCTCCAGAATGTGTACACTTGGGACCGAGATACTGGCACCAGAATGTGTACACTTGGGACCGAGATACTGGCACATATTCAAACCGAAGTTTATTTTATACGTAATTATGTTACGAGATGAATTAGAACAGTAGCCGCGAAATAAAACACAAAGTAAGAATATTAGGATATTAAGTATTATTGTTTCATAAAGATTAACGCGTAGTTTTTAATCCAAAAAATACACATTTGACCGCAAAATTTCCCTGATTGAGCTTAAACCTGAACGTCCTTAATAAACATATATGTTTTATAAGTTTTATTATCATAAATTACTTTGTCATCGCAGTGGACTACTAGCACACTGAGGTGAAATGTCGTGTGTTTCTATTGGCAAGTTAAAATAATTTCGCATAGATTTAAGCTTGGCATGGCCTGATGGTTAAGGGGATCACCTTGCAATCTGCGGGTCTCGGATTCAAATTCCATCACCAAACGTACTCGCCTTTTCAGCATTGGGGGAATTATAATGTAATCCCACTATTCAATTAGACTACCTTAAGGATTGGCGGTGAATGGTGTTGACTAGTTGCCTTTTCAATAGTTTATCATTTCTCAATTAGGAACGGCTAAAGTAAGTAGCCCTCTAATAGCCTTGCGGGCAATCTAATAGAACAAACAAACTTATAGATTTTTGTTTTTATTGAAATGATCTTGACATTAATAGTTTATCATTTCTAAATTAGGAACGGCTAAAGTAAGTAGCCCTCTAATAGCCTTGCGTGCAATCTAATAGAACAAACAAACTTATAGATTTTTGTTTTTATTGAAATGATCTTGACATTAAAAGTTTATCATTTCTGTTCTTATTTCAGCACATTATTAATTAAAAACATTGTTACATTCTATGTTATAAACTGTGAAGAAAACTAATTATACAAAGTAATAAAACTAAAACTTATTTCACCCCAAAATGTAACATATAAAATAATGGCACACCCTTACTTGCACCACTCCAACCTTTTGTAAATAATTACCAGTTTCTGAATATAATCGTAACTCAAATTTGAAAGCTTATATTAATTTATTACAAATAGTTTCATAAGCAGTTTTCTTTTGTTGTAGCAAAACAAAAACAGAACACAATGAGTATTTAGTTTACCATGTGGATACTATTTTTCATGTACCTTCATGAATTGTTTAATTATTACGATAATTACTTCACTCCTCTCTCATGCTGTAGATGGGGTCTGCTGTTCTGGTTGGTAAATGCCTAGGAGTCTTATTGAGACTGCCCCATTCAGTCTCGGACTTGCCAGACTGGACATCACCACAATGAGCCTCAGTTTTCTGAGCCTCCTGTGTACTGAGGTTCAGTCTTAGGGAGAGAATTTCATTGGTCATTCTGGGTGCACCAGATAAT